TGAAGATCATTGATTGCCGATGAAAGAGGCTATAGCCAGATTAAAAAGGAAGGATTGGCAATCATATTTTCCATGAAAAAGTTTCACAAGTTCCTACATGGTAGAGAATTTATAGTGAAGACAGACCATCGTCCATTATTGTCCATGTATGGATCAAAAAAGTATATTCCTACGCATACAGCGAATAGACTGTAGCGCTGGGGAACAATCATATTAAACTATAATTATAAAATGGAATTTCCACCATCCAAAAATTAAGTCCTGCAGTCGGATTGTCTAGACTGATACCAAGATTCTGCGAACCACTTAAAGACACAGTAATTGCGGCGATAAGGGCCGAAAATGAAAAAAATAACGTATTATATAATACCGAACGAGAAATTCTCATAACATTGGTGAAAATAAACATTAAAGCGGGAAAAGACCAATTCATAATGAAAATGAAGGAGAAATTAAGATCTAAAAGGAACAATACTATGGAAAATAATGTGTTTTCATTATGTAATCGGTACTTATGTCGACAGAAAGATTGGTGATGCCAGAATCGTTACAAAGACTTATGTTAAAAGAATTTCACCGGGGACATCGCGGAATTTCTCGGATGAAATCTTTAATGGCTAAAAATGGATAAGGATATAGAAAATTTGAAATCATGCAGGGTCACCACGTATCAAAGTTCAACCTTGGACGACAAGCGATATGCCATGGGCTTGAAGACACGTTGACTTTGCAGGACCGATAAACAGAACTTAGTATCTAGTAGTAGTCAATAGTCATGAAACAATGAAGAAGAAGAAAAAGTAGTAAAGGAGAAGAAAAAAGAAGAAGAAAAAGATAAGTAGAAAAAAGGAGAAGAAGAAGAAAAAGAAGAAGGAAAAAGAAAGAAGGAGAAAAGAAGAGAAAGAAAAGAACAAGAAGACGTTGAAGGATCGTGATATTAGCAAATATAAGACATTGATTTCAATTGTGTAGAATTTTATGTCATTGTAAGCATAAACATTTTTTTAATGTATCGTGAATTCCAACAGTGAAATGTAATTTTTCTAATTCATAAACTTAGTCTTTTCACACACACACACACACACACACACACACACACACTTTCATATTATTGAATTTAATTTAACTAAACATATAAGATACGTAAACAGGCATACACCTTCAAGACTGAAAATGGAAAAATAAAATATTTATACAAAATAATAAGAAAGTTATTTTCTTTTAGCAATCAATGTCAACCTGTTTATAGAAAGGTTATCACGAAATAATTGGCATTTTAAAGGTAAATGTTTGCCTAAGTTCCAATTGAATGATCCTTTCTATTATTATTTATTAATAAATAGACAGATACGAACAGAACTAGATATGAATAGATAGATACAAAGCCATAGATAGATAGATAGATAGATAGATAGATAGATAGATAGATAGATAGATAGATAGATATGCACAGATAGATAGATAGATAGATAGATAGATAAATAGATAGATAGATAGATAGATATGCACAGACAGACAGACAGATAGATAGATAGATAGATAGATAGATAGATAGATAGATAGATAGATATGCACAGACAGACAGACAGACAGACAGACAGATAGATAGATAGATAGATAGATAGATATGCACAGACAGACAGATAGATAGATAGATATGCACAGACAGACAGATAGATAGATAGATAGATAGATAGATAGATGAATAGATAGATATGCACAGACAGACAGACAGACAGACAGATAGATAGATAGATAGGTAGATAGATAGATATGCACAGACAGATAGATAGATAGATAGATAGATAGATAGATAGATAGATAGATAGATAGATAGATATGCACAGACAGACAGACAGACAGATAGATAAATAGATAGATAGATATGCACAGACAGATAGATAGATAGATAGATAGATAGATAGATAGATATGCACAGATAGATAGATAGATAGATAGATAGATAGATAGATAGATAGATAGATAGATAGATAGATAGATGCATGCCGGCTTATATTGTCTTAATTCAGGATAGAATAACTGCAATTGGCGAATTGATTGTCATCCTTCTTCAGTTGAGAGACGACGGCACAATTTGGCTGTAACGGAATCCAAATCACGCAATATGAATGACGTGATGCCAACGGATGATTATTTTCAACTTTTTTAGTGAGTTTTTCTCGATTCATTTTTTCCAAGATTTTTTTAGGCTAAAATTATATCTCTTTTGAAAAAAAGTAGCACGTCCTTCATTTAAACCAGAAAATTCCGATTCGAGGATTCTTATTCGATGACAAACCTCTTTCATTTACAGTATCACGAATACTGTTGACATATTTAATTAAAGGCCTGTTAAATAAAAATAATGAAACTCAAACTAATATTAAATATCACTCGAGGTGATCGGAGAAAAATAAAGTATAAATATATGATTCAATTTAAACTCGCCCCCCTAGCTCGATAAGCTCAGTCAGTAGAGACGCTGTTGGCTTCGTTTCACTCAAAATACAAGCGATGCGAGTTCAAGTCTCACTTGTAATTCAGTATGGATTTGTCGTTCAAATTTTTTACACTTGAATGTAGAGTGAGAGTTGGCGTAAAAAGCAACTAAAATATGGTGATTTTCTAAGCATAGCTGTGGCACAAGGTCGAAAGTTTTGAGCACCCAGTGAGTATCGAATTCACTACTCAGTCGTAATTGCTTGAGTGAGACAAGCTTGCTAAACATTACACCAAGTTGAAGTGCCCCGAAAGCAACTAAAATATGAATGACGACATTATTTGTTTTCTTATGCCAAGTTTTTTTTTTCAGTACAAAGTACCATGACTCTCCACAACTTCCTGTTGTTACTCTAAACATTTTTTATCATTTAACACCGTTCTCTGTTTTTGTTATGTCATTCAAACTCGTTAAGTAGAATACACATTGTTTTTTTTTCCCGCTCTTATTGTTTTTCTTTGGCCTCTTTCCTCGTTACATGCAACACAAAATTCCCCCATCTCTCTCTGATTGTAAGTATAAGTTTCCCAGTTCCTATTTTCTTCCTCATTATTCGCATGATCCGTTGTTGGTATTCTGAGCGTTCATCAATAGAACTACATATTTGTCGCTTCAAGTAAGGAATTCGTTTAGCAATCAATAATATATATTATATTTGTTGTTAATTTACAGCGCTCATTTTTTTTCCAACGATTTTTACCTATATCTTAATACATTGCTTAGTTTCTAGAAGACATCTTATGCTATTCCTATGCGCCATGGAATTTCTCTCTTACATTTTCTAAAGCCTATTACTACAGTACCCAGATAAAAATTACTGTACTTACTTGCTCATATATTGGGCACCCGTTTTGCTGACAATCTTCTTCATTTATGTGCCGTATCTCTTCAAGACGTAGACGATTATGGCCCTCCACATCTTCCTGTTCCTTGTAAGTTTGGTCTTTTTATTATTTCTTCCATACCCTGTCCTGCTATCCATTTGCTCAAACCCATCAAGTCATACTCTACTTACCTCTGTCCGGCTTTCCCTCAATCTCTCCTGTGAGTATCAGATTTTCCAAGCCCTCCTTCCTCATTACGTGCCACAAAAAATTCAACTGCCTTTTCCTGATGTTAAATATGAGTTTCTGTCTATGTTTCTGAGATGAGGCATTATGTACATTATTTACATTATTCGGACTATTGTCCTCATCTTTGTCGTCATATTTATTACAACGTTTCGGCCGTTGTACGCTCTGGCCTTCTTCAGGTGGTTGGAATGTCGAGCTGAACCCTTTATTTCGCTCACTGGGGTAGGTTGTTCTAGTTCCACGTGCCATGTTTAATGGATGTCAGTTATCAGTTATCTCCTGCTAATTTCCCTCTGAAAGTTCTCCACTGCCTTAGCCGGGTATTGAACTCACACTCTTTGGGTCTTGTCACTGGATCTAACTAAGGCCTAAATAAATAAATAAATATGGAGACAAAGATGAATCCGAATAATGTAAATAAAGTATGAATTTCCTTTTTGTTTTCATTTTTTCTAAGACTTCAGTTTTGCTCACAAATATGTCACTCTCTACTTTCCTCTGACCCTTTCTCCCTTTCAGTGTGTCCTGTTAATATCAGATTTTCCTATTTCAAATGCCTCTTCTTGATGTTAAATATAAGTTTCCTTTTTGTTTCCAATTTCTCCAAAGCCTCTTCGTTTTCCCATGTTTGGTCCATGGTATCCTCAGTATCTTTCCATATTTCTGTTGCTTCAAATCTCTTCTTCATCTTTAAGATTGTCCAGCATGCATTGCCATATAGGAGGACAGATGTCATGTATCAGTCCAGTACTCTTTTCTTTATTTCATTGAATCTATATAGTCTCGTGTGGGGTTTTCTTTGCGTTAAATATAGATGGACACTTCCAAGGAGACATCACCTAATTTTCTATGTATGAATGCATATTTTCATGTTATTTATTATATATTCTTTTCTTTTATTCACCAGATGTTGGGATGGTTTTAATGAACTGGTGCCGTGTTTTGTTTGATTAATACTGTAAGGTCTATCGTCCATTATGTTTCACAACGACTTTGACTTGGCCAGATCAAACAGGTCACTATTAGCATTATTCACCTCTCGAACATTTATTCACGCTACCTGCTAGCGGATCAGAAAATGGCAGGAAGTGACGTCACAGCAAAAATTAGCTCAGTCTTCAATCAATTATCCAGCATAAGTATTTATGCTTAGTGGTATCCAATGTTAATAATGATTCATTGATACACGTCCTACTAATTAACCCATAGTCGGGGAATGAGAAAATGTGGATTCATACATTTCCCAAAGGCATTTTTACGTAGCTGAATATAAAGAACCAACTGGAATTGGAACTCGGTTCTCCGATTAATAACGTCATCCATTTAACCACTCACACATCCGATATTAGAGAACCTGGTATTTCTAAGCGGTCCCTCATCAAGATACTGACAAAGCTAGACGTTGCTTAACTTCGACGATTAGAGTGCATACAGCACCTGGTATTCTCAAGTGGTTACTCATCTAGGTAATGACCAGGTTCGACGTTCCTTAACTTCGGTGATCGTACGAGAACCGATACTTCAACATGATATGGCCGTAAGCCAAATTAGTACCTGGTACTCCCAAGCGGTTACCTATTTAGGTACTGTCCACAGCCGACGTTGCTTAACTTCGTTAATTGTACGAGAACGTGTTTCGACGTGAAATGGCGTAAGCCAAAATTTGAGTGCATACAGCACCTGGTATTCCCAAGTGGTTACCCATCTAGATACTGACCAGGCTTGACGTTGCTTAACTTCGAAGACCTTACTAGAACCCATGTTTCCACGTGACATGGCCGTAAGCCAAAAGTAGAGTGCATACAGCACCTGGAATTCTCAAGTAGTTACCCATCTAGGTACTGACCAGGCTCGACGTTGCTTAAACTGGTGTTTCAAGGAGATATGGCTGTAAGCCATATTTTTGTCCGATGTGGAATTAAAAGCAAATATTTTTAAATGATAAGCTTTACTTCACCACACAAACCCAATCAGCATGAAAGCCTATCTGTAAGCGATGATATCGGCCATTTTTACAATCATGGAACAACTGGGGAATTAATAATGCGAAAGCAGTATTTTTACATTATTAATGATCTTAACATCGCTATCTTTTAAGAAGTTTTAAAGTTAGGAAATAAAGGTAAGATGTTTTCTGAAAATACTTTCGTGATAAGCAGATGTTATTGTATTTTATCTCGATTAAATCTTCACTGACAAAATACTACACTCATCATCCTAGAAAATTGTCGCCTGACCGGCCTAGGTTTTGTTTGATTGGTCCTTTTCCATCTTTAAGTAACCATTGACTTTTCTCAGTTCGTCTTGAAAAAAAACCTCCATAGCAATCTCAACTCTTATCCGTTATTGATCTTGACAAAGAGATTTTTATACCCAACAAGCAAAAAATGTTCTTTAGATAAAACATTAATGATCTGCCGATCTGTTCGTCAATTTCAACCCAGTTTCGGTGTTCTTTGAAACACGTTACCCATTTATAAATTGCTTACTTTTCGAAGCAACAATAACATCTTCGGTCATCCAAGTTGTACTGTATATTTGATGATAGTCCTTGCTATAACTTTGACAGGGTTCATGTTACTTTGAAACATTTAAACTGGCGTGAAATTCAATCTGTAACCTAGAAATACTTCCGGTTCATACAGGTTATAAAACGGAAGTTCAAGTTTACTTTGCTGCAAACAAATATCAAAATATTTACATAGTTTTCTGATATAAAGCTTTTTGCTCGCCATTTTGAATACCTCTTTTATTCATATTCTTTTAAAAGGCTATTATGTGCAATAAGTAAAACACTATAATTAAATACTTATCATTGTATCTTATTCTATGTAGATATCGTCATGAGATCCATAAAAAATAGCATAGCATGAATAAAAAAGGCCTTAAACTTGATGAAAATAATATTTTATCGTCTAAATGTTTGTTATTCTCAAGAGGAACGATCAAAGTATTTTTTGATTATTTTTACATTTTAATAATTTCTAGCACGTTCAAAATTTTCGTTAAAAATCTTTTTTTTTTGAATCAGCAAAATTAACAGAAAATCGATCGTTTACAAAAGTGAAAGTCTCCGTTTAAAATTCTTTTAAAATATCAATTATGATTTTTTTTTAAATTAATTTGAGAAAATTAGAAATTATAAAGTTTATTTAATCTATTTTGAAACAAACATTACTTACTTTCTGCGCTGAAAAAATGTACTTTAAAATGAGAGAAAGCCGGTCTTAACAGCTGTGTTGATTGACAAGTGATATGTGTGGGATTTCATCACGCACTGATATTTTACGTGAGGAAATGTTATAGTACAGAAGGTCACAAGTGACAGTTTAGCTTTACGTGATCAACTTATTTACCTCGTTATTTTTACTTACTTTTCAAAATTTTCTGCGTCTACTTTGTCATATATAGGATGATATATAGTTCAAGTTTTTTTAAGTAAATCTTCTCCACACATGTTTCGCCAATCGTAAATGTAAAAATGTAAAGGCCGTTAACAGTGCCGAACAACATTTATATACAAAATCAAGTCACTTGATGTTTTTATTGTATCATGTTTCTTCCGGGCTTCCGTACATTTGAATTATAACAATTTTTTATTGACACTTAAGGCAAGGAACAGTAAGATTTTTCTAACTGGTGGTTCGTGGATTGTAAAAAGCTTGTGCAATTTATAATCTATACAGATAGATGTACTTAAAAAAAATTAAGTAAAGGATTTGACATTTCCACTAATTTTACAATATTTAACAACTTAAATGTAAAAACAATAAAATAATCTAAGAAATAAACATTTAATTCTTTTAAAAATTCATTTTTCATCGAAAACGTTTTTTTTGCCTTCAGACAATATTACGCATATTAATAAAAACAAATAAAAGCAACTAAAAGCATTTGAAATTAAACAATATCTTTGTTTTATTGAGTTTTGTATGTTACAATTCACAGTTGATTTTAGGTAGACGAGGTCGGATTTTTAAAAAAACGAAACCTGATTTACTTTCGTCAAAGCCTTGTGTTTTTAACTAATATAATTACTTGCTATATTGAATTTCTAGAGTTTTCATTAGATTATTTATGGTAGGGTAATATATATAAAAATATATTTTTATCATGACTTTAAAAAAATAACATATTTATAATAATTTCCATCATTTCTAAATAGTTTCTGAAAGTTTAATTAAAATTTTACAATTATTTTTATTTTTGCAAGATTTACAAAATTAATACCTGTCATTAAAAAAAATGCACAAAAAATGCCGTTTTTATCATGCTATGTTTATTTTCCAGCGATCTCATGGATATATCTACTTCTAATTATTCTTATATTCTCGAAAATTCTCCTTTAGATAGTATTTACAAATATTGGACTTTCAGGATTTGTTTTCTATTTTACGTTTTCTAGATTTTTCTGAAATTTTCTCTGATTTTTCTGGTTTTTTTTTTTGCTTTGTTTTGTTTTTTCTTGTTCATTTGCATGTTTGGCTGGGTGATATGTTTTTCTATCTTCTTCATTAGAGAATATCAGGAGTCCTTTTTACCACAACAGGTTACTCAGTCTTTACTTTGAAATCTTTTAAGTTCTTTTTGCTCTCCGGGAAGATTTCGAGATTTCGCTCAAGCATTTTTTTTCGCACTGTAAATCAAGTCATTCCACAGCACCCTATCAACTTTTCTCCTAATCATGGCCGTACTTTATTTGTTAACCTTGTGAAATAATTTTAAAGGGTACGTTTTACGTTGTCGGTATTTATTGCTGTTATTTTCTTTCTTTATTTCTTTATCCTTTCTTTCTTAATTTCATTTTAATGTTTCTTTCATTCTTCCTGTTTTCTTTCTTTTTTTTTCTTTCTTTCTTCCATCACTATGTCTTATTTTTATTTTCTTTCTTTTTTTTTCCTTTCTTTTATCGGTATGTATTACTCTTTCTTTCATTCTTCTATCGGTATTTATTATTGTCGTAATATTTATTTATCATTTCTTTATTTCTGTTTTCATTTTTTTCTTTCTTTTTTCTTTCTTTTATCATTATGTATAACTGTTATTTTCGTTTTCTTTTCCTTTCTTTTCCTCTTCACCGTTTTTCTTTCTGTTATCATGGCGATTATTTTTTTAAACCATCACGGCCTGGTGTTCGTTTTTTTTTTTTTTTTTTTTTGAGGAGCAGAATCTTGCAAAAAATATTTGTTTCTAAATCGAATCTGTATCCTATACGGAACTGTCATATAGCCTGACGTGTCTTAACCGATTGAGCCACAGAGGATCGTTCGGTTAGCAAGGTCAGGCTATATGACGGTTCCGTATAGGATACAGATTCGAATCCTATCGGAGGACGAATATTTTCTATGAAAATTTCTCGGGCATTCAGGCCGGTAAATGTTGTTTAATACTGTTTATTATAAAAAGAGCATTTACTTAAATATTTGTATCTATAAAAAGAATGTATAAATATATATGTATATGTATAAATATAAAAATGTCTTAAAATATTTCATCCTGTTATTCTTCGCCATTTTATCTTCTCTTGGCTTTCTTTTTGGTCATAAAACTTGCCATTTAATTTCATTGCCTATTGGGTTCGTTTATTTGTTCGTCCATGATTAAAATCGTTAATACTGCGCCATTTTTGCACTCGCTTTCATTAACTCAGCAAGTGACATTAAATGCTAATAAGAAAAATCAATAAATCGAATCAAAAGCCAATAAATAACAAAACTGTGACAAACAGTGTCTGATGAAAAAACAAAGAGTGAAATCAGGTGTAACGGATTTAGCTTAATTTCGTGTAATTTTTCATTCCTTTTGAGCCATCTCATTCTGATTCATTACTTCTTGAGTATTAAGATGGCCACAGCTTAGACACTCAATTTTGTGATATTTTATCACCGATTTACAACCCTCTAGAAACGTAATTAAGAAAATCGTCTTCTCTACGACATCCTATCTCCTGAAGCTTCTTTTATATGTCGTGTCTCCTCAGGACGTAGGCGGTTATGGCTTTCCACAACTCCCTGTTCCTTGCAGCTCTTACTAACGTTTGTCTTTCTGTTATTTCTCCTATATAATACGCTGTTTTCCTCCGTCTCTCTTGCCTTTAGTCTGCCTTGTGAGTATCAGATTTTCCAAGCTTTCTTTCCTCATTATCTACCCTAGAAACCTCAACTGCCTCTTCTTGATTTTAAGTATAAGTTTCCTTTTTGTTTCCATTTTCTCTAAAACTTTGTTGCTGCTCTCATTTCCAATCTATTATAGCCTTAGCATCCTTTTTCTATTGTTTCAAGTCTTCTTCATCTTTGAGGAGATTGTCCATCACTCACGGCCATACAGGAGGCCAGATATCACGGAAAAGTTTATTACTCTTTTCCTTGTTTCTAGCGGATTTTTTTTATATTCCTTAATACACTGCTTAGCTTTTAGAATGCATCGGTTGTTTTCTCAGTGCGCCTTTGGATGTTAATGCCACACTTCCTGTCCCCCGTTAAAACACTTCCCAGATATTTAAATATCCGCACTTGTTTGATTTTCGTATCTTTGATTTTCCTTTACTATCACTCGGTGTTCTTTCATCGACGTCAATGTACAGTAGATAAATAGGTTACGCGCAGTTTCTCTCTGTTTTGTTGTCTTGTGAGTATTAAATTCTGCTTTCTTTATTATGATACCCGACATTTTCAGCTTATATTTATTATTTTTTATTTATTTATTACCCACCACCAAAAAAAATTATAATATTTAACCCCATTTTAGGAGTTATGGAAGAAGGCGCATCATACATGGAATTATA